CTTGTTTTTTGACAGGTAGAACAAGGGAATGCTAGAGACATAAAGTGTTCGTAGATTTTAGCAAAGCATTGATAAAGTGTCGTTATATATTTGTGAAAAAGAGAAGTGTGGGTGAAACTACTACAATTAGGTAGATATGGAATTGGTTGAGTGTCTACACTCAAAGAGTAGTCATTAATGGGTCAACATCATCTGGAAGGACATTTTCAATGATGTACCCCAGGGATCTATGCTTCAGCCCGGGCTACTTAACATTCTTATCAAGATTTGAATAAAGGTATCAATGGTAAGCTTATCAAATTTGCAAATAACACCAAAGTGGAGGGTTAGCAAAATATACTGGATAAGAGAGTAATGATTCAAAAAACCCTGACAGGTTAGAATTTTGGCTCAAATCTAATAAAATGAAATGCAATGTCATCTTACACTTGGATTCAAAAAATCAGTTTCACAAGTATAAAATAGGGGAGTTGTGGCTAGATAGCACTTAATCTAAAAACTGTCTGGAAGTTTTAGTAGACTGTGAGCTCAATGAATCTGACAAAGCAGCTAAATAAAAAAGCTAGCACAATCTTAGGCTCTGGCGAAAAAAGCGGAGTCCAGAAGGGGAGAGGTACTAAGTGCCATTGTCCTTTGCCCTGGTCAGAGCACACCTGGGCTATGATGTCCAGTTCTGGGCATCACATTTTAGGAAAGCCAGTGATAAGCTGGAGAGCATCCAAAGATGCGGAACCAGAACGATGAAGGGCCTTTAAGATCCTACCAGAAGAGTATCAGTTGAAGAGACTTGAGAGGTTTAACCCAGAGAAGAGAAGACTCAGAAGAATGTGACAGGCATCCTCAAATATCTGGAAGGCTTATACATGGAAGAAGGCCTAGATGTGTTCTACTCAGACCCTGAGGGAAGAAGTGGGCAGAAGTGCCAAAGAAGGAAACTTAAGGTTGCTGTAAGGAAAAGGTAACAAATATAGATGGGGAATGAACTATCTCAAAAGAGAAGGGCTTTTTCTTTACTGGAAGTCTTCAAGAAGAATTTCAATGACCACTTCTTGGGTATACTGAAGAGGACATTCACATTCATCTTTGTTTTGCACTACATAGTCTTGAGGTCTCTTCCAACTCTGAGATTCTGTGTGTCTGCATGGATGAGTTACTGATATACAGATTAACAAATACCAGTGAAATTCTGCATCCATCAAAATATTAAATCAATTATTTTTCTATTCCCTCTAGAGTCCTAAAAGAATAGTAGCTGAGGAGATTGACAGATGCTTTCTTTCAGGAGACTGGTAAATTCTTTCTACTTTGTCCTCTGGTTCTAAGAGATCTGGACAGTTTTCTTTTATGATTTCTTGAAATATGTCTAGTCTTTTTTTGGGGGGTTAATGTTTTCAGGGAGTTCAGTGGTTCTTAAATAATCTCTCCTTGATCTGTTTTCCAGATCTGTTGTTTTTGCTATGTTTTTTGCTGTACCTTCCATTTTCTTCCATTTTTTTTCAGTCTTCTGACTTTGTTTTAACATTTCTTCCTGTCTCGTAGAGCTATTAGCTTATACTTGGTCAATTCTAATTTTTAGGGAGCCTTTTCTTGTGTAAGGTTTTGTACTTGTTATTCCAAGTTGTTAATTCTCTTCCCAAATCTTTCTTCCACAGTTCACTTCTTTTCCCATTTTTTCCTTCAGCACTTTCATTCGGTTTTTAAAATCATCTTTTAACTCTTGTTTCATTTATTCCAAGAATTCTGTTTGGGCTCATATCCAAGATGTATGTCTCTTTGAGACTCTGCCTGTAGATATTGAGTCATTCTCTTTTAGTGAGTTTGTGTCTTGGGCATTCTTATCACCATAATAGTGCTTTATGATGGAATTTGTTCGCTCATTCTGCCAGCCGACTTCTTGATTTTGGATTTTATATTAGGGCAGGGTTCTGAACACTTTGGGGGAAGGGGATGTCTGGCCTGAGCTCCTTTCTCCTTGGGTCCTTCTGGTTTCTTGAGGTAGTAAATGTTGTGTTACCAGATCTCAGGAAGAGCTCAAGCTGGGGACTTGCAAGTTTTCGGTTCTCCCCAAAGTGGTGTGATATGGGGCAAAATCTGATCACTGCCCTCCTGGTCTGAGCTCAGCAAGGTCTTGACCCAGGTCTGAGCAACACTCCTATGAGCCTGCCTGAAATGGAAATTGGAAATTCCCCTTTAAATTAATAAGATCACTCAAATAAATAGGTTCAGTTCAAATCTCGGTCATGACCGTTCCATAACTCCTGAGTGTTCTTGGCCTAGCATTCCAGGAACTAGCCATTCCTAGGTCACGTTGACATGGAGGGTTGGCTCCTCTCCTTGTGAGACGTGATGTTATTAAAAAACAAAATACCAAGCCTCAGGCGGATGGGAGCATGGCTAAGGTCAGATGTGTATTGAACAAACCATGAATAGCGCATGCATCAAAAAGGGCTTCTTGGCCCCAAGCCTTCTTTGTTTAGAACAATATAAAAACACTGCGTCCTGTAAGCCGCTGAGCTTCACCCGCGGGAAGGACGCTTTGCCCGGGAAAATCTTTACACAATTCAAGTTTGTACGGGCTGTAACGGAGCTCCCAGCCGTTGATTGATTTTGGAGGTTCCCTCGAATTGGTGATGTATTCTCTTCCATTACCGACTCTCTTGATCGGTGCTATATTATTGATTGTTCTTATTATTTATGCTTTCTATACAAATTCAAACTATCTGTGCTTTGCTTCTTCTAAATAAATTATCTATTTCCTATTATTTTCTGGTGCATTGGAGAGTGTCATTTATAGGAGCGAATCCGAACCTCACTAAATCATATTAATACACTGCCCCTGGTTGGAAGTTCCAATAGACTGCTTTTGGACTCAGTCACTATCAGCCAGCTAGGAAGCTCTTCTGGTTCTGAGGCACAGAACTGCAGGCTGTTCCTTGGTCTGGGATTCCTGCCCTGGTTATTCCCTCTGGAGGCTGGAACTGAGACTCCACTCTGCTCCTGGGGTCAGAGCCACACAGCTACTGCTTGAATCTAAACTTATTTCTCACTTAGTATGTAGCCTAGGTATACTACATTTAGTATACAGTGACTAATCCATAGCTCAGAATGCTTTGCCTGAATGCAATCTCCTCAGTCTACTCTGGATCTGCAACCCAGAGGTGGGTAATAAGTGACAGAGCTGTCAGCTGGCACTTGTCCCCAATCTCTGCACAAGATCACAAGTCTGGGATCTTGTCTTGCCTGGTGCATGGCTTCATCCTCTTTTAGTCCACTAGCAGAAATGTTTCCCGTGGCACACTCCTGGCCACATCCCACCATCTGTGTCCACAGATCTCTTTCTCTATCTCCCTAAGCCAATCTGGGCTAGAAAAATGATTCACTGTGATTTTTTTCTTGGATTTCCCCATTCAGAACTTGGTCAGACACGTTTTCTTGATCTTTATGGAGAAGCTGGGCTTTCTTCTTCATGCTACTCTACCACCTTGGCTCTGCCCTCTTTGCTGCCCCCCCCCCATGCTTCATCTATTCACATTATCAAGCTGTGAGATTGGTCTCTGAAAATAAAAGTGCTGGACTTAGAACCAGAGGATCTGGGTTAGAATACTGGCTCTGCCACTTACTACCAATGTGACTTTAGGCAAATCCCTGCCCCTCTCTGGTCTTCAGTTTCCTCAGTAAAATCAAAGGGCCTCTTTGGTTCCATTCAGCTCTAAATCTATGGTCCTATGATTCTATATACTTCTTCTGTATTCATAGACAAAATCAATTCAATTTGACAAGCACTTATTAAGCACCTAATATCTGTAAGGCACTGGGTTAAGTGCTAGGGATACATTGAAGAAAAATGAAAAATACTCTGTGTCCTCATTCTACTGGGAGTCACACAACCAAAAGACAGTTTGAGAAGTTAGACAGAATTAACAAGTAGGCAAATCAGGAGAGCCTTCCTGAGGGGGTGGCACCTGAATTAAGCCTTGAAGGAGGTTAAGCATTCTACAACAAAGGGGTGAGGAAGCGGTGCATTCCAGGCAATGAGGTATAGTCGGTGCCAAAGCATGAGGGTGGGAGATGGAATACCATACTCAGGAAACCACAAGCACACGCCAGTTTGGCTTGAATATAGAGTGCGAGAAAGAAAGCAACATGAAATAATTCTGGAAAGGTAAGCAGGAGCCAGACAAAACTGGGAAACAATTGCAATGAGCAAGGCTACCCACAAATAAATAAAATATTCCTCCTTTGCAAATGAAATCAAATCTAAGCCAAGAATCACAGCAAATGTCCAAGCCATACACATTTACAGAGTAGCTTTTGGCTTCAAAAGTATAAAATACTGCTTATTCTAGTCTAACATTAATGATTTAGCCAAAGATAACATTTTTGGGAATAGACACACCCACCCTGGTAAGATAAAGCAAATAACTGAACACGAGTTCAATCTCAAAATGCTAAGATTAGTTACCCACTAGTGTAAAAATCGAATTGTGTATGAGAAGAGTCATATGAATGGATGGAAGATGAAGGAAAGCAAGCTAATAAACAAGATAAATTTTGATTACCACAATGTAAATGGCAAGAAAGAAGGCGAAAAAAAAGAAGCTGAGCGCTGCAGATTCAAATGCCCCAGAGTGACCCTAAAGCAGAGATCTGAGAGTGCACAGCACCCTCCCTTCTTTGCACAGGTGGGGGGATATGGGTATGGATAATGTCAGAGTTGGTTAATGTGCTGTTGGTCAGTCTTGCTGAACTATTTTTTCTCCTCTTTCTTTTTTCTTCTTCGTCATAAAGAACGGCTCTCTGGTTGTGGGAGTGGGGAGGATATATTTAAAAAAGAAAGTGCTAGAAGAACACAAGATAGCAACAATACCATTTTGAAGCAAAACAAGAATTGTGTATCACTACTCAGCTGATTGTGTAGTTAAGTAGTAGCAGCTTTGGAACCACAGCATGAATACACCGCTCTTCCCAAGCGCCACTGGCTATAGCTGGTTCTCACTTACTCTTGCATCCTTGTCCCCAATGAGACAAACAGCCCGCAGAGAGGGTACCCAGCGTTTAAATTCATTCATCCAGTTGTGTAAAGTTGATTTGGGAACCAAAACCATGTGAGGCCCAGGAATGTTCCGATAGTGTTTCAGATAGCCAAGCAACGCAATCGTTTGTAGAGTTTTTCCAAGACCCTGCATTATCAACACAAAAGGAGAGAAGTCACAAAACTTGAAATAATGAAACAGTTTGTTAGCACTAACACTGGAACTGAATATTTGCCTATTTTTCCACATGTAGAATCATGACTCTAAGAAAGAACAATTAAAAATACAACGCGAGGGGAAAAGTCAACTTTGATTCTTAGTCAGTATTTACTGAGTCAACAAAAGAGGAATGCAACATGCCAGGGGCCACCGGAATGGAGGAATTCCAAACACATTCAATCCAATCTAACAAGCATCAATTACACACATGGGGTGAGGGGGGAGAGAAGAAATACAAAATGAAAAGCCACTTCTGCCTTCAGAGAGCTTGTGTTAGGATGGGAAGTTGAGGGGGTTACTGTAAAGAATATAAATAGACCCATGTATACACAAAATTGTTTGAGAAGCAAGGGAGCATTACTTGCTAGGTAGGCAGGGAAAGGCTTAGACCATAGGAAGTGTACCCAAGCTAAGCCTCGAAGGTAGCTAGGTGAGAGACAGAAGAATACATTCCTGGCATGGGATTTTGCCTGTACAAAGGCAAGAGATGGGAGATGGAAAGCCAAGTTCTGGGGATCAATTAGTAGGCCAATTTTGCTGGAACTGAGTAAAGCCCTGAGGGAGCTAACAATCTGTAATGTGCTTCTGGATGGACTCTTAGTCAAATTATGCATTTTGTGCTTATTCCTCAAGGAAGGCTTCCCTTTAATGAGCTATTCGTAGCTATTGGCCCCCTTGTTTCTCGATGTCCTCGAGAGACTGCCCTGTTGAGGTGCCTGTGGCATTCCCTCATCATCCTATAGCTCTTTCAGATGTTTAATGACATTGATAGGCTATTACATTATACTGGAACTATATAGGGGGCATTCAAAGGCTTCTTTGGTTAGTGGAGATTCCCACGTGGCTCCAAAATCCAGTAACTGGGAGTGTGTGTGCCCACTGAAGTTCTCCCAGAGGCACTCCATCATATCAGAGGTGACCCTAGAGTCTTGAAGGCTCTGGCAGAGTTAAGTAAGCCACAAAGTCTTCCAATACAGTCCCAGAGATAGACAGACTGTCACCCAAGGGACCAGCCCCTCTCACATGGCTTATTACCAGAAAGTTGGCCACTAAGTAACCAATTTCTTTGCCATGAATGGATATTGATCTCCACTGCTGCAGAGAATGACCATGTAGATTCAATTCAACTCAACAAACATTTATTAAGCATCTACTGCGTACAAGGCACTGGAGAAACAAAGAAAACCAAAAAGTCACTGTCCTCAAAAATCAGTAAGATAGGGCAGCCACTGGAGTATATGAGACCACCACTAGGTTAACCAGATCAAACAGCCCCATTCCTTTTTACCAGTTGCCATTACTTTTGTCTAGTACACAGCCTCAAAGTGATGCTACCTCAAAACCTGCTGGCTATTTACAATTAGTGCAAGGAATTCTGGGTCAACCCCGAAGCTCTAAAATAGAACTAAGGCAGAGGAAGGGAACCCAGCAGTGCAGGTTAAAAAGCCCTGCATCCAGTAGACAAAACACAAGACTCAAGTCAGGAAGATCTGACTCTGAATCCTGCCTCGTTCACTAACAGCTATGTGACCCAAGGCAAGTCACTTTGGCTCTCTGAACCTCGGTTGCCTCACAGTAAAATAGGGATAATAATAACATACTGGGTTGTCGTGAGGATCAAATGAGATCATATTTTTCAAGCATTCTGCAAACCTTGAAGTACTATGGAAATGCTAGCTGTTCATATTACATATGGAACAAGAGGTCTTATTCCAGCAAGAATTCTCAGCAAGAATTTAGGAAATTGGGGAACTGGTCAGGAAACTACTTTTATAAACTTTACTAGGCATTCCACATAGGTACTATACCATGACGACAATATGACATAACCAGCCTCAAGGCAACAAATAGCTTTCTCCATAATGAGGAACTATTTTCTCTCCCCATATTGAGTCAGAGATAATTCTTATTTATCTAAAGCCATTGAAAGAACAGGGAATCACTACAAATGACCCCAGGGATTCCATGGCTACACATATATCCCAAGGAGGTCACTGACATAAAGGAAGATTCTCTCTATGCCAAAATATTAATAGCATCACTTTTCATAACAGCACAGAACCAGAAACAGAGTAGATACCCACTCACTAGAGAATGGCTAAACAAAGTATGGTCCATGAATGTAATGGAATAATATAGTGCAATAAAAACCAACCAACACAATGAATATGTCATGCATGGGAAGACTTACCTGAACCAATGTAAAATGAAGTAGGACCAGGAAAAATACAAACACAATGACTACAACATCACAAATGAAAAGAATGACCAACCCAAAATAAATGAAACTGCAAGTCAACACATTATAAAGAACAAGCTTGGTCCCAAAAAAGTGACAGAAAAAGATGGCTCCCCTGTCTCCTTGGCAAAGGTGGGGCTTTACAGGTAGGGAACACTGGACTTAAGGCCAGATTTCTTTAATGCATTCACTGGTTTTGCTCAATGGTTTTTCTCTTATTCCTCTTCTTAAAAAATTCCTCATTAGGGGCAGCTAGGTGGCGCAGTGGATAGAGCACCGGCTCTGAAGTCAGGAGGACCTGAGTTCAAATCCGGCCTCAGACCCAACACTTGACACTTACTAGCTGTGTGACCTTGGGCAAGTCACTTAACCCCAATTGCCTAAAAGCCAAAAAAAAAATTCCTCATTAGATCTAAGACAACTCCAAAAGACTCATGATGCAAAACGCTATCCACATCCAGAGAAAGAAATACGGAGTCTGAATGCAGACTGAAAGATACTATTTGCTTTCTCTCTCTTTATCTTTTTTTTCTGTTTCTTCTTTCTCAGGGTTTCTCCCATTGGTTCTAATTCTTCTTTATAACATGACTAATGTGAAAATAGGTTTAATATGAATGTATATATGGAGCCTATATCAATTTACATGCCATCTTGGGCTGGGGAGAGGGGAGAGATGGGGAGAAAATTTGGAACTCAAAATCTTACGGAAGAGAACGTTGAAAATTAAAAATAAATTAATTTTTTAAAATTCGTTGTTATAAAGGGGCAGCTAGGTGGCGAAGTGGATAGAGTACCGGCCCTGGATTCAGGAAGACCTGAGTTCAAATCTGGCCTCAGACACATAACAGTAGCTGTGTGACCCTGGGCAAGTCACTTAACCCCATTGCCTAGCCAAAAAAAAAAGAAAAGAAAAAAAATAAGAAAAAAAAATTCCTTGTTATAATGGATGATTCTGAGAGGGGAGAGGGAGAGGGATGCAGGGGAAAATGTATGCACTGTAAAAACAAATAATAACAATAAAAATGGATGTGCAAAGAAAAGAGAGAGAATCCAGGGCACAGTCTTCTGCCACCAGTTCCTTACCATTTCATCTGCCAGAATGCCATTAACTCCATTTTCATAGAGGGAAATCATCCAGTTCAGGCCCCTAACCTGATAATCTCGCAGCGTTCCTCCTTTCACATCTGCAAAATTAAAATTAGATCAACCATCTTACCATAAAGTATCTTTTTCTTAAAGGCACCAAGTAATGTCCTCCTAAAGCCAATCTGGAAAAAGTCATCTAGACTGTGTAGTACTCACATGAAGGAGATACTTCAAATCGGACACAAACATTTGACGTTTTTCGGCTCTCAGACAACAGTTCCTCGTCTTCTTCTTGCTCCGTCCGTCTGTGGCGGTAACTGAAAGGGACAATGAAAATACTGTTCATGTTCAATCGGAACTTGGGATTTAAAAAGAAATGAATGATGGCGTCCTCGTCTCCTCTGTAATTTGGCAGGATGCATTTGCATTCTGGCTAATCCTGGAATAAATCATCATTAAGCCTGACTTGGGAACTTCTGGTGGAAAGAATTCTTGCCAGCTCCGTAGCATCATAGCTAAGCTTACCACAAGCCACTCATACGTGACTGAAGTTTGAACATATAACAAAAGAAAGATGCAAACGTACTCCCCAGCTGAAAGAAGGCATTGCTTTTCATCGCGCTTCACTCGGGGACGGCCCACTTTCACCTTCAGTGGCGATGTTGGCGACTTCTGGGCCGCAGGCTGAATGAAATGAGCAAAAAGCTCGGTCTGCTTCAGTAGAAATTCAAATCTTTTTGCTCGGTCTGTTTTCTAAAAAGAAAAATAATACATTGAGAACGTCTGTTAATTGTTATTAGAAACAAGGAAATTCTTCTTAAAAAGCCCTCAAGTCCAATAATATCATTCATTTTCTCCTCATTCTTAAAAATCCTTGTAAGACAATAGTCAAAGAAACTTATCAGTGCTACTTCATTAAAAAAAAAAAAAGGTGGGGGAAAGGCTGATTTTACCATCAAGAAGATATGAAGAGATTGGATTGGGTGACATTCAGGGATCCCTTCAACTGTCAAATTATTTCATTTTTTCAGGGCACTAGGACATGTTTAGTATATTAGCCTGCCTCTGTTATTTACTGCCTGTGTGACCTTTGCAAGGCACTTTCTCTCTCCCTGGGCCTCAGTTTCTTTATCTGGAAAATAAGGGTGTCCCACTGGATCACCTCTGAGGTCCCTTCCAGTTCTCAATTTATGATCCTATGATCTTTTCAGGTCAATTAAGTTAATAACCCAGTCACTTGGATGACTTAGTAAGCCCTTGAAAATAAGCAACGTGGCCTTCTTTAACAGTTAAGACCAAAAGAAAGTCATCTTTCTGAAAAAACGATATGGTATTTTTCTTTTCCAAACTAATGGAATTTGAATTCAGCTCTCATTTACACAGCACTATATATAATGTACTATACTGTAAAGTGCCTGACAAACATCATCAAACTTGATCTTCTCAACCACCCTGTTGGGGAAGTGTTATCCTTAGAGCCATTTTACAAATGAGGAAACTGAGGCTTCAGGCAGAGGTTTAGTGACTTGCTCAGGATCATAGCGCTAAGAAGTTCCTTGAAACAGTACATACATCCCAAATTCTCTGAAAGCCTCATCATATAAAATCTGCTACAAAATTAAGAATGTAAGCCATTACTATTAATGAATAATGTAATACCATATGCTAAATTCTTTTAGGAATATTCAAACTATAGCTAAAAATCAATACTAGCTTATTTCCTCTCCAAAGTGTTTCAATAGCATTTTATAAGTCTGACAAACATTTCTCCATTCAAGTATAGTAATGGGGAAGCTTGTATTACATCAACATATAGGCATTTTCACTGGCTGTCCCCCATGCCTGGATCGCTCTCTCCCCTTCCTGGCTTCCTGGATGCTTTCAAGTCCCAGTTAAAATCCTACCTTCTGCAGGAAGCCTTTCCCAACTCCTCTTAATGGTTCCTTCTTTGCATTATTTCCTATTTATCCCCTACAAGGTTTGTTTATACCTACTTCTTTGCCTGTTGTCTCTACTATCAGACTCCTGGGAGCTGTTCAAGGTAGGGACTGTCTTTTGCCTTTCTTTAGATCCCCAGCACAGTGCCTGGCACCTAGTAGGCACTTAGCAAATGTTTCCGGAAAGACTGACTGATTAGGTCTTTCACTGTATTAAAGCTTGAGACATCACAATATCTGAGATTAATTCTCAAAACATAATATTGCTTCATGCCACAGGAGGGCAATCTGGCATTTGCCTTTGCTAGAAAAACACTCCCCTATAGCCAGATCAGAGTATCTCTTTAGGCAAATCAAACAGTCACGTTCCCCAGATAAGGAGCAGAAATACAGAAGCCTATAGTGGCCCACTTGATCTCTTTCCTGGACTAAAAGGGACTCTTGAGCACTTAGGAAGGGCACAGAAATAAGAGCACCTGGAAAAGCTCTTTGTCTGACTCTCAAATTTATGTTAAACATATTCAAAACAGCAGCTGGAAGAAACCTAAAAAAGTTTCCATTTCCTTCTGTCCCCTGAGGACGATCATTCTTATGGCCAGTAAGTACCACATCAGCTGTCTGTCTAAGACAACGGAAATTTGGGAGGAAAATAAAGCGCTTCTCTTTTTGCGTGGGTAGCAATCATCACTAACCAAGGAGCTAAGTCATCATCTTTAAGTATCAATCTAAAACACACATGTAAGCATGCAAACACTCACACACACTCTTCCAGCTTTCCCAACCTACCCCTTCAAAAGGTGAAATTCAATGACCCCATAATAATAATAATAATAGCTCTTCACAGCAATGCAAGAATCTTAGAAAACTCCAAAAGGCAATGGAAATTGCTATCCACCCCCCAGAGAAAGAACTATGGGGTACGAATGCAGACGGAAGCATGCTATTTGCTCTCCTTTTCCTTTGTTGTTTTGTTTTGTTGCTTCACTCTCATGGTTCCTTCCATTAGTTCTAATTGTTCTTTACATCATGACTAAAGGGAAAATATGCTTATATAAATGTACATGCAGTCTTGGGCAGGGGAGAGGAGAGGGAGGGGGAGAAAATTTAAAACTCAAAATCTTATGGAAGTAAATGTTGAAAACTAAAAATAATAAATAAATCAATAACAAGAACATTTATGTAGCACTTACAATGTACCAGGCACTGTGTTAAGCTTGTTAAAATTATTACGTCATCTGATCTTCACAACAACCCTGGGTGGCTGGGAGGTTGGGATGAGATGCTAGTCAAAAATTAAAGCCGGCCCCACCCACCCACCCAATGGATTCTAATATTTGAAAGCTAAGACATACTCTGAGAAATAGGGAATACAGATAGAGTATCTTCCCTAAGGAACATGACTAACCTACTCTGATCACATTTCTTTCAACTTACTACAATTCAATCACAAAAGATACACAGGTTTATGAAGTGATCTGGGAATGCCTCAGTTTCTCCAGCTTTGAAATAGGGTTGCTACATACAGGACTCAAGAGATCGCCCAAGTAAAGTACTATGAAAATGCTAGCTATTATTATTTAAGCTATGAAAAGGCAGGCTGTTACTATTTAATGTTGCTACAGGAGGTCCATCCAATGGGGTGGTAGAAAAGAGGTTAAGGAAGCAAGTCATAACTTCTCTGAGTTTTACCTTCCTCAGCTATAAAAATGGGGGGCGTCTGGGGGAATGGCGCAACATTAGCCTAGAATTTAGAATCTAGAATCTAGAACCGAAGAAGTTTGGAGCTACAAAGGGACCAACCATAAGGCTCCTGGAAAACTCTTTGGGTCTCCTACATCTCACACTTTTATTCTGCTACTTCCCATTATTACAACAAAAATTAACCACTCCAATCACAGATTGACTCAAGCAAATGCACATACCATCTTCTCTTCGTATTCGGAATCAATTTCCTTTTCAGGTCTGCAAGCTTTAGGAGGTGGTTTCAGTTGAAAAGGAGGGTCATTTTTCTGAAATTTTCAAGAACAAATAAGGTCAGCAGATGCCAATGTATCCTTAAAACAATAACAACAGAAATGTTCTCAGTTGCCTCATGAAAAAGACAAGTAAAATTGATTTCAACAGAAAATTAAAGTCACTTAGTTGTGTGACACAAGTCACTTTACCCAGTTCGCCTCCGTTTCCTATCTGTCAAATGAGGTAGAGAAGGAAATGGCAAACCACTGCCTGCCTTCAAGTCCCAGCTAAAATCCAAGAGAACACCAAATGGGGTCACAGAGTGTTGGACAAGATTGAAAAAAAAAACAACTGAAGAACAAATCAATCTTCAGGACCAGCAACCTAGTCCAGGCTGCCTAAAGGCATTGATCTTTGAGGTGGAGTCTCCCCTACAGAAATGCAAACTCCTTAAGGCAAAGACTATCTTTGCATTCCCACCCACCCTAGATCATTATTTTTTTGTCATTCTTTCATCAGATGAATCCAAAAAATTAGATCACTGAACATAATAAATTTTAATTAATTTAAAATCAATAATGTTCCCTTGTTCTGACAACCTAGAACAGGGGTGGGGAACCTTCGGCCTCGAGGCCACACGTGGCCTAGAAATACACTGTTTTTATTGCTAATGTTCCAAAGTTAAAGAACATGATTAAAATGCAGAAATTCTGATTTCCATTCATGGAAATAAGGTAGCCTCTTTGAAAATCAGAGTTAGCATTTTTATAAATTTATGTTTTGATTAGTAGCTTTTAAAATGTTAGCATTGATGCAGTATGAAGAAAGCAAAAGCAGGCCAACAAGTGGCTGAGGCCAGAGGCAGCTTCCTTTTTTTGAATCTCTTCATCTCTACCACCTGGTACAGTGCCTTTCCCATCGCAGGCATTGCCCCCAGTGCCTAGCTCAATACCTGGAATATATCATGGAAGTGCAGCCTTGAAGAGCTGGAAAGAACCTTGGTGCCACCACTGCTGGGCAGATGCAACAGGGAAGTCAAAGAAAAGAAAGAAATATCTCAGAGTCACCAGGCAGTCAGGCAATAAACAGTTATTAAGCCCTGGGCATACAAAGAACAGCAAAAAGACAGACTCTGCTCTCACAGAATATACACATGGCAGCATTTCTCCTGGTAGAAGAGAACTTCTAGAAGCTATGTCGATGCCTGCAGTTGTTCAGTCACTGCCTCAGTTTCCCCATCTGTAAAATGAGCTGGAGAAGGAAATCGCAAAACCACTCCAGTATTTTTACCAAGAAAACCCTCAATGGGGTCATGAAGAGTAGGCTACGAATGAAAACAACTAAACAACAACAAATAAATTGTGGGATTGTGAATGTAGAGGAAGATTACTATTCTCTAAGAAACAAGGAATATGATGACTATAGAGAAGTATGGGAAGACTTACTGGAGACAGGAGAACAATATTGACAATTGATAAATATTTATTAAACATCAGGCACTACTGCTATGCACTAGAGATACAAAGAAAGGCAAAAGACAGTCCCTGCCCTCAAGGCAATCTAATGGGAAAGACAACTTGCAAACAAACATAAACAAAGCAAGCTAGATATGGGATAAAGAGGAAATAATTAACAGAGGGAAAGCCCCAGAATTAAGAGGGTTTGGGAAAAGCTTCCAGTAAAACATGAACAATGACAACAATGTAAATCTAAAGTACAGTAAGAAGCAATTGAATGAGGTGTAATTATAATGATCAAGCTTGACCTCCTAGAATGATAGAGGAAAGGCCCGCAGCTCCCTTCATTGCTGAGCTGAGGCACTATGGGAGTAGATTAGAGTATTTACCCTGACACAGTAGGTTGGCTTTGCTGAACAGCTTGATTTTTCCTCTTTCTTTCTTGATATTTGTTACAAAGGATGACTTGTTGGATAAAGTAGATGAAGATGAAGCTACTGGGAAATGAAAATAATATCAAAAGGCATAAAGAAAAATGAAATATTCATTCTCATGAAAAACTTTTGGGGTGACATGATCTAATTGTACACATTGAAAATAACGTTTGGTGTATCTTTATTTTCAACAAATTGGAAAAGTAACTCCAAGAAGCATTATGAGGGTAATGGATAATGGGCCATCCAGAGAGGCAAGGAGCCATCCAGAGAGGCAGGAAGACCTGGGTTCAAAACTCACCTCAGATATATCCCTGGCAGTGTGACCTTGAGGAAGTTACCCTCATGACACCCTACAAGACTACATGCAGCTCTGAAGAACAGTTGTAGTCCAGCATTGGTAGAAGGAAGCTCTTAAAAGGGAGATTTCCTCAGGAACCTGGCCAATGTGTGTGGGGGGGGGGTGGAGAAAAACCTTTCCACACAAAGATTTGTTTGTGTTATGCAAATTATACAGTTCATCTGAGCTAGTAATTTCTGTAATTTCTCAGTGTGGAAGAAAGAACACTAGAGAGAGAATCAGGAATTCTGGATTCTAATCCTATTTCTGTATCGAAGAACAAGGGGGAAACCAGGCCCTTTTCCAGTGTCAAAATGCTAAAAATTGCCTCATTCTTCAGGCAAGAATATAAACATATACACCGGAACTTTTATGAAAAGGAAACCTTAATCCCAGAAAGCATTTTCACTCAGTAAGCTTGTGCTAACTTTTCAGAAGACTTTGCAAATCCCCCGTTGATTTCATTTATATGCTAATTAAAATTCTTGATCTGGGAGCAAGAGAGACCAAGTTTCCTTTAATTAACTTGCATTCCCTTCCCAAACTACTTTTTAAACCTACCAGGTAAACTTTGTCCCTCAAAGTATATATTTTGTTTTCAACCAAGTCGTAGATTGGGGGATGACATTCAATGAATGTCATTGCACCCATAGGAGGAATTCTGATAGAGAAAAGGAAAAGGAAGAAGGTTGGTAAGAAGCCAAGAAGTCAAGAACGCAGAACCAGGAGACAAGACACAATGACTATAACCAAATGTCAATATGATATATATACATATAATATAATGTAATATAATGTCAATGGCTTAAGAGCAGGTGCCTGCCCCCAGAGCTCAAGGCCTAGCATGGCCCACAGAAGAGATGATGCAACACCTTCCTACGGGAGAGGAAATGAACTCTCCGAGGAGAATGTGGCCCCCCAAGTCCCAGGATATTTTCACTTAACTGTTTATCTTAGTTGCTAGAGGAAGAGAGGGAGGGATGGAAAACTGGAAAAGACTGACATAAGAAAAAAGAAAGGTAATAACAAAACTTTTTTTCATTTTCTAACAAGGAAAAAAAAATCCTCCCTAATACGGTACAGTAAACTTTTTAATTTTATGGCAATTTTTATTTTTAATAATTTAATTTTTTAATTAATGGCAAGAGAATGTAAGGCAGGGTCATCATCATTTTTAAAATTATGAATCTTTTTTTTTCCCTTTTCTCTTTTTCTTTTCTGGCCAATTCACTTTGCACCTCTAAATTTCAGTTTCCCCATCTGTAAAATGGGGATAAGAATACACACACTGCCAAATTCACCGGGCTGTTCTAAGGAAGCGCTTTGTAAAACTTAAAATCCTACAGATAATAGGCATTATTGTTTTTTCCTGATATTTTTGTTCCTGAAAATACCTTCTCTAATAGAGCAACCTCATCTACCAAGAAAACACATCCCGGAACCAAGAAGAGTTCCCCCAAAACTCCAAAGCTTACCTAGCTCACCCCTCACCCACTGACTTGTTCCTCACATGCTCAAAGCCAGCCTATTTACTCTTACTTTTCACATAATCCTAACAATTTTGGTTATCAGGTTTACTAATACACAACAGGTCAAAAGTAACCAATGGTGGGGGGGGGGGGACACAGGGACAACCAGAAAAAGCAGACCTAAGAAGACAGAATGCACAATAGGCTATAGCCACTTAATATATAACATATAACTTAACCTCAGTCAGCCTCAGTTTGCTCATAAAATGGGGATAATAAAAGCACCTACCTCTTCCAACCGTGGAGAACAAATGAGATAGAAAAGTGAGGTGAAAACCTTTAAGTGCTATTTAAATGCTAGTTAGGTAGTATTATTATTATTCAAATAGTTCTCCGAAGTAGTCCCCAAGGGCAGAGGGTAAATGGGTCATTAAATTTCCCTCTTCAGTAGAATGAGGCTAATAATAGCATCTCCTTTACTGGCAGTGTCGAGGATCAAATGAGTTAATATACAGGGAAAGTCTTTGGCTAACCTTAAAGAAAGCTGGGGGGGCGGGGTCACCGGGGGGAGGTCCCAAAAGTCTTAGGGCAGTTTTAAGACTTTTAAGCTGAAAACTAAGCCTTTTGAAACACCCTGCATAAATGCTAGCTATCATCATTATCAATAATAACAAAGATTGTTCTTTTCTTTTTATTCAGGCAGCTCCAGCTGGTGGAACATTTAGAAGGAAGATCCGCGTTTGAATCCTGTTTCAGACAACTTAGTAGTTGTGGGACAGACCCTGGGCCATCGCTTAACCTCTCTACCTCAGTTTCTTCATCTGTAAAATGGGGGTTATAATAGCACCTACCTCATAGGGTAGTTGTGGGGATCAAATGAGTTGACATATCGTAAAGTGCTTTTGTAAACTTTAAAGCCTTATGTAAAACCCACTAGCTAGTATTATTTTCTGTAATTTCATTAGTGTGGGTCCTTACATGACTTAGTAAAGACAAAGTCTTGGGGCAGCTAGGTGGCACAGTGGATAGAGCACCGGCCCTGAAGTCAGGAGGACCTGAGTTCAAATCCAGCCTCAGACCAAACACTTGACACTTACTAGCTGTGTGACCCTGGGCAAGTCACTTAACCCCAATTGCCTAAAAAAAAAAATAGACAAATTCTTCAAGAATTACTGCACCCAAAAAATTCCCCACCCTGAGGTCAACCTTATTCATTGGTCCTCGCTCCATACTTAGCTATTCTGTTCCTTAGACAACAGACACATACAACTGACATATAGTCCGCCACAGGCTAAGACTCAAAGCCTGAGAAGGCCCAGTCCAGGATATACAACTGTTTGTAGAAGCCTCCCTATTCCAACGTCCTTGTCCTAGTCCCTCCATAAATCCTCCACCGGAGGACCTCTTCTGGGTCTTCAACTGGGAGGCCATCAGTGAAGCTAAAATGCCCCACCCCCCCCTTTCCCATCATTCATCGATCTCTTCACTATCTTTTACATTTCTTGTGCACAAGTCATCATTGTTAATATGCTGCAGCCTAGTTACACCCAGTATACAATTCTCTATGACTACACACAATATATACAGGGTGTCCCAAAAGTCTAATTGCAGTTTAAAGCTTTTTTAATGGTTGAAAAGTGCACTAAGACTTCTGGGACACCCTGCATAACAGGAATGGGAGGGTTAAGGCATTCAGTGTTTACAAAATCTGTTCTGCTTTTTATAAAGATGAAAGCAAATGCCAGGGCACGGCACTGGCCTTAATGATTAAGTACCATCCTATTTCACAATTTAGGAGATTTGAAGTGTCAAAAGAGCCCAGTACAGCATCATTCCCAGGGAATAAGAGAAACATGTTCGAGTCTTTATTCAAAAACTGGTTAAGCTTTGCTCCCTACTGTTGTTTGTAGTGAACTCTGGCTCAATTTATTAGAGGGTGGTTTGAACGTTTTCAAGGGTCAAGTAGCAAAGGAATTCAGAACAGCCCCCTTTTAAGCTCGGTGCCTCTTCCAGCTTCTAACAGTAAAATCTGCCTCAGGTCCTTTGGGGAAAAAAAAACCTGCTGACTTTTAAATCACTCTAAGGAAGAATAGTAAGTGATATTGTGGCGTGGCAAGGCAAGAGAGAAGTTATTGATTGCCCTTAAAGGTTGACTTTTGGTCCTACGGCATCACCATCGCGTCATAATCCAAGCCAGGCCACTTGAGGGCCGGGAAGCATCATGTTAATTACCCTACATAGTAAAAATGCTAGCCTGGCATGCCTTAAAAGGCAAAATCTCAATATATGGAGAGACTATCACAAAAGCAATTTTGAACAACATCCCAGCTGTCCCCGTAGTATCTCTGAAGGGGAAAACTTCAAGCTTTGGTTCTTAATCATGCCTCGGGGGTTCTGTGCCCCGAAGGCCGGGGGCGGGGGCGGGGGGGGGGGGGGGGGGAAGCGAAGCATCAATTTCTAAAGGGCAAGCATCAGAGCAGACACGAGCCCACCCGGGAAGCTGAGAGTGGCTTATCCCCAAAGATCCTGGTTTAAAGAAAAATTCAACTGCGTGTGTCGAGGGGCCGGCTGAGGCTGAAGGAAAGAACGGGAAACAGGAGATAAGACAGCAGCAGAGAAGGCCCCGCCGGCGAAGGACCATCCCACACACCCTGCTCCAGGGAGGGAGGACAAACGATGGGGGAAGGGAAAATTCAGGGGCTGCTGTCCAGGGTGGCCTGGCTTGGAGGATGGGGGTGGGGATTGCCAGGGCCAGAGATGATATCTTTTCCCCCATCCTCAAGGCCCGGCTAGCCAATGAAAAAGACTCGCTCGAGCTTTCCCCATCCCAACAAGAAGGATCCAAATTAGCCTCTCTTCCGAGCCCTTCGGGAAATGTAGGGCCCCTCAAGTGCTCGGGCCCCGCGCCCCTGCCCAGTCGGCCCCCCTTTTCCTTGCCTCTCCTTGCTCCTCCCCCCCTCCCCGCCTCCTCCCTCAGGCCCATGCCGCCGGCTCCGACGGTGGGCGCGGAGGGGGTCACCCCTGCAGGCAAGGGCGCCGAGGCTGGAGAAGCGAGGCAGCGCGAATGCCGCTGCACCCCCCCTCCCCCTAGCACCGCGGCAGGCTTAGCCTACCTCCTCTTCCTCCTCTTCCCCCCGGTCCCCGGGGACCGCTCCCGCCTCCCGAGCTGTGGACGGTCCCGGCTCCTCCTCCGCTCTGGTCCCGGGGCCGGACTGCTGCAGCTCCATGGGCACGGCGGCTGCGGCGGGGAGGCCGCGGGCTCGGGGCTCGGGGCTCGGAACTCGGGGCTCGGGGCTCAGGCCGTGCTCGGGAAGCTGGGCAGGAGAAGCGGCCAGCTGTGAGCCCCCTCCGCTGAGCAGGGGAGAAGGGAGCAAGGAGCACGGAGCCGCCGCCCCCTTCTCCTTCCCAGCCCTCCTACGTCACGGCCTCCCCCCTCCCCTCCCCGCCCCCCGCGTCCCCCCCCCGGCGCCCCCCACAACGATCGCGAGACTCCCCCCTCCCAACCCGCGCCAGAGCGTTCGCCCAAGGGCGGAGTGGGGGGGAGTTGGGGGCGAGATGCGCTGTTCCCAACACCACCCCCCCCAGGACCCCTAGCTCACCCGCTCGACCACCCGTTGATGAGGAGAAAAGGGAGGGGGAAGAGGGAGAGGACAGAGAGGGGAGAGGGAGGGGGAGCCAAACTGAGGTCCAGCTTTTTTTTTTTTTGGTTGTTTTGTAACCTCCAAGGGCTCTTGGTTCCTTGCTTATAAAATTCCCTGAGCAAAGCTCCACCCAGGCCTTTAGGCCCAGACCAGTGATGGACTCTCTGGCCACCCTCAAACCCCAGAAACTCACTGGTCCTTCCTTTGCTTGAAGGGGCTGTGGGATTCCCACCTTCTAGTCCCATCCCCTCCTTTTACAGGTGGGAAAACCAGTACAGAGAGGCAGAGGAACTGGCATTCATAGCCACACAGCAAGTATTCTCCTGCCTTAAAAGCTGGCATTCTGCTCAGGGAGCAGTCCGTTCACTTCTTGGATACTGAGTGCAGCTAAAAACAACTTGCATCTACAATCCCTAAGGGGAAGCTGGGCAATTTGCATTCTCCAGGCCCCAACTGAGACTGACACAGCGAGATGGCCAGTCAGTCTCCCCAAGGCCTTCACTTCCCAATGCTAACCCAAAGCTTCACGTGGTACCTGGCACATAGTAGGTGCTTAATAAAGGATTCTTGACTTGAACTCCTGTGATTTTTCCCCCCTATTTTCTTTCCAACCTTCAGACTTTAAATTATCCAACAGTCATTAAAAAGGGTTTAAAAGTAAGCAGTATACCAAAAAAAAGAAAGAAAAAAAACACACAGATTGAAAAGTTAAGAGAATTAATTAGTTCCACCCTGGGGACCTTGCCAGTCTGCTTTCTAATCCAGTCTATCAACCATTTCTTAAGCCCCTAATGGGGAGAAGGTAACCTGGCTCTGGAATGAATAAGAGAACTTGGATTGAAATGTCTACACCTGTGATTTTGGGCAAGTCCTTTCACCTCCCTGGCCTCAGTTTCCTCCTCTGTCCAATGACAGGGCTGGACCAGGTGGCTTCTGAAATCTTTTCTTTGGGATGGGGGCACAGAGAGGAGAGAAACACCTTCTCCCCTCCTTTCCCTTCCACAACCAGGCAAATGTCTAAAATTCCAAGATCAGAGAGAGCTTCATTGCTTCCACTAAAGATTATATAAATCACATCAGAAAACATAACTAGCCAAGGAAGGGGGAAGCTTTTAATTATTACAATTTATGAGAAAGATTCCCATTTCCTTGGATAGGTTTTGATTGTAGGAAAGGGGGCTAGAAAGACCTGGAAAGCTGGGACAGGTATCTACCAATAATGGGCAGAAAAAGAGGAAAGTCTCAGAGATACCAGCTTCAAATCTTCCATAACTTTAATTCTCCCTCCAAAATTCTTCTTGCTCACTTTGGAAACTCACCAGATTGCCAGTTCCTTAGGTGGGAACAACTAGGATATCCCAGGTTGCAGAGAAGGGAAAGCATTGGCTGGGAAATCAGAAGACCAGTTTGGCTCTGGCTCTGCATTCACCGAATGACCTTAGGGCAAGTTCCTTCCCCTCTCTGGGCCTCAGTTCCTCATCAGGAAAATGAAGAGCCCTTTCCAGCTCCCAGTTCTTTGATCAAACTAACACATTCCTTTTTCTTTTCTCTGCAACTCATTTTCCTTACAAAGCAGGAGAAAGGTGCCCAGTAAAGGAGGCCTTCATTATGAGTTGCCTACTTGCAAGACCTTGGAAATGAGATTACATTTTCCCAGGAAAACAATTTCATTTTAAAACCACACTGTTTAAAAGCCAACCAGTGTATATGCTGAGAGTTTCTTATATACGTATATTATCATAGGGTCAGAGATCTAGTTCAATCCCCTCATTTTACAGATGAGGAAACTGGGGCTTAGGGAAATTAAATGACACCCAAGATTACACAGGTAGTATCAGGAGCAGCATTTGAACTCCCACTTGGTCATCCTTCCCTTTGGACCAGATGTCATAGCATATTAGGTAGAGGCCTGGCCTTGGAATCAAGTCCTGTCTGCAATGTATACTGAACTGTACAGACAAGGCATAACTTCTTGGGCCAGCTAGGTGGCATAATGCATACAGGACTGTCCCTGGAGGCAAGAGGACCCGAATTCAAATCCTACCTCAGACACTTACTAGCTGTGTGACCCTTGGCAAGTCACTTCACCCGTATTGCCTTAAAAAAAAAAAAAAGACAACTCAAGGTCCTAGGAGGTTCTGTGGAACCAAAAGTCTCAGACAAGTCACCGACCAGGATTTCCCTAGTCAATAAAATGACACGTCCAGCCTTCCTCTCACCCCCTAAAAATGTATGGGAGCAGCTGGAAAGACAGTATTTGCCTATTACTCCTTTACAAATAGCCTATGTAAAGAGCTGTTACCTAGTTTGTGGCAACAGCTGCTAGTGACATAGCCTGGCCGGGATACCCATTTGCAAATCCACCTAAAAGCCCATACTCAAGGAGTCAATCCATTTCCATTGCCCCATTGCATTGTGTACAGCTTTTCCTCAGAAAGTTCACCCCAGCAATGCTGTCTTGTTTACAATTCTCCTTTCCTACTTGCTTTACTTCCTCTGATGGTGAGGAAACAAAGCAGACTTTTACAAACTAGTTTGAAGTGGCAAGGTTATAGGATCATAGATCTGGAGCTAGCCTCCTCATTCTATACATGTGGAAATCGATACCCAGAGGGTCAGTTACTTGCTAAATGCACAGTAAGAATTTGAACTCAGATCCTCTGATTCCAATTCTAGTACTGGTCTTCTAGAAAACTGTCCCATCTAAACAAATCAGGATCATAAAAGTATTTTCAATCTCTCTTTGTTTAAAGGTATATTGCTACCTTTTTTGGTACATGCCACTCTCTAAAAACAGATATTTATAAAGAGCTTAGCACAGTGCCTATCACATAGTAGATGCTACATGAATGTTTATCCCCTTCCCTTTCCCTTCTTTCCTTATCCATGCTGGGTCTTCCCTGGTAATAAAGATTTTTTTCAAAAGCAGTTCAGCAAAACCAACTGACATCCACTATTTCTGACACATGCAACATTCCGAATACCCCAACCTCTTTGGTAAAAGGAATGAAATGTTTTCCCTTGTCTCTTCTCAGGAACTAAGACATAATCATAGCATTCAGCTTCATTTCTTTGTCTTCTTTCTTTCTACCGCATTGTGGTAGTCACTGAGCCTAATTTGATTCTGCATCAGTTCATATAAGTCTTCCCACATTTCTCTGAATGCCTCTAAGTCTGTTATATTTAGAGAACAGTTTCATCAGCCAGGTTTCCAGATTCAGTTTGGTTTGGTTTAATCACCAAAAAGTGCTGCTATGGAAAATTCTGGCAGACATGGGGCTTTGCTGGATTCATCGGGAAGTTTTAAGATACTTAAAGTGACCTTAAGCTGCCTTGCTAGAGCTAGAGTCAGCTGAAGAAACTCAGGATGTGTTGCCTGGGTCCATGGGTCCAAGGCATAGGGGATGGTAGCTGCTTTCAAATATCTAAAGGGGGTCACATAGAAGAGGGAGGTAATGAGTTCTCCCTCACTAAAGGACTTTAACTAGATGCAGGATGACCACTTACCAGGAATACTGCAGAGGGGAATTCTTAGTTAGGTCTCAATGTTGAATTAAATGATGATATCTCTTCCAGCTCTGACATTCCAGGATTCTCTGACTTATTTCAAGGTATCCAATCTTGTTTAGAAGCTAACAAAGTCCTTTAAAGGATTACTGGTACTGTCTAATACTCTCCTAAGACACCGATCACCACTGTATAACAGTTGCAATATTGCCCTGGCTCTTTTCTCAGAGCTGGCATTCTGACAGACACATCAAACCGCATTATGACCTACAACCAACTTGGGGATTCCATTGACTCTAGGGTCTTAACCAAAAGAAAGTCAGCTTTCTCTCCCTTGTCTTCTGAGAAGAGATTACTGCAAGTAGCTTTCTCAAAGTCCTAAGGAATTGGGGCAGCGAGGTGGCACAGTGGATGGAGCACCGGCCTGGAGTCAGGAGGACCCGAGTTCAAATCAGGCCTCAGACACATAACACTCACTAGCTGTATAGACTCTGGTCAAGTCACTTAACCCCAATTGCCTCATCAAAAAAAAAAAACTTGAGGAATTGCACCAGCACTTTGTATATAATGAGGAAAAGTTAATGCAGCCTAGAAGTGGTTGAACAAACAGTGCCATATGAACAGAATGGGATGTTATTATGCAGTAAGAAATGACAAATAGGAGGAATTCAGACGATAGACAGGATCTATCAGTAGGTACCAATAGGCACCATAGGTCCTGGGGATATAATTACAAAGCAATAAAATCACCCTTGCCTTCAAGGAACTTGCATTCTATTAGGGAGACAATATGGACAAATATAAGTAGATTACAGGAAAAAATAAAATCTTTACAAAGTAGTTGGGGCTCAGGAAAGTCCTAGTGGGAAAGGGGGTATGCAGGAGCACAATTCCTATGCTGATGTAAATGAAAAGATCACTAAAAAAGAAATAGAACCCTAAGTAATAGGAAAAACAAAACAAGGCACTAAAAGAATGGAGAATGAAATCTCAAATCATTGGAGGGAGGCAGGTATTATAGTGTAAATTGGCACACACATGGTATCTGTATCAGATATTTTGCTTAATTAGTTTTATTTTTGGTCACAAAGGAGGGCTTGATCTGGGTGGGGCAGGAAGTGATTGTGATGTCAAGATAAAAGGCCTCAATAAAATTTATATTAAAAAAATCATGCAAATTGCTTTGAATTGGCCAGTGGAAACTACTGTCACTCTCCCTTGTCAGGCTTTCTTGTGTCCCACGAGCCCACTAAGGCTGGAAGCCACTGTGGTGGTGGGAAAAGAAGGTTAGATTTGGAATTAGAAGGTTTCAGTTCCCAGCTCTGTTGAATTACAACTGTCAGTCCCTCAAATCATTTTTCTCAGTGAGGCCTAATTTCCTAATTTGTAAAATGTGCATCATAAAGGCCTGCTCACCTCACCAGGTTCTTGTGAGGTCAGCACCCTAGACAGTATATAAGGGGGTGCCCCAGCTGGGACTGGCACTGCTGTGTTTTTAAAAAAATCTTTGTGATGCTGGTGTATAATACAGTAAGTTTACTTCTCTCTTTATGTATATAAAGATATATATTTGTATGTTATATATATATATATTTATATATACATATGTATAGATATACACACATACATGCACCCACAGATATGTATATTTAGGAGTCCTCTTTGATCTTCAGTAGCATTTGATAACCTCTTTAATGTTAGATCTACATTTATCTCCCTGGATTTCCCCCCTTTTGATCCACCATAAAGTGTCAGCTTAACTTAGCTTACCAAGAAGCATGTTCCCTGACCCCTTTCAGTTCTTTATCCTAAATAATTGTCATTCTGCCTTTTTCAGGGCAGGGTCAAAAGCCCTGTAGCATGTCGAGGCTGACCTCAACCAAATGCTCCAATCTTTGGGGGTATAGAGCTGTCTCCAGTGCATCTGCACCATGAGAGCAAAATGGAGAAAAAAGCAGATGCGTTGCCTGAAGAGAAAGAGGCGAAAGATGAGACACCGGTCTAAGTAAATACCCACAGTAGCAGTGATGCAGAATGGCATACCCCTCTGAGTTGCAACATCAGCAAATATCGTCACCCATCATATAAAAAAAAACCCAACTTTTAACATCATTTCTCCTCACTAACTTATTTCTTCTATCTACCTGACAGAACAATTTTCATCTTTTCAATCAGATTCCTACAATATCATCTTTAATTTAAGGAAGATCACTTGCACAAGACCAAAATCAAGTTCACTAAATAAGTTCATATGATTTAGACTTCTAATGTAGACAGGATCAACGAATTTCATTTTCTTTGTTGCTGAGCATAGTATAGGAATTATGATAATAAATCATTGTCTCTGTTAAAAAACAAAAAAAGGTCTTGAATGTGTTATTTTTAAGAAGCATATGCGATCCACAGCTACAGCTCAGAGCTAGGAGGAGGGCCTGGGGGAGGGAGTCTGGGGGGAGCCACCCAAGACATCTCTAGTCCAACTCATGTCATCTCTACCTCTATTCTAACTCAGGAGTTGGAGGAGGAAACTCAGGGGGCTTCAGATCTAGTCCAACCCATGCCATTTACATCTATTCTAACTCAGAGCATTGGAGGAGGAACAGCAGAGGACCCAAACTTGGTCCAGCCATGACTTCACATGGGTCATCCAATCAGTTTCTACACATTATTACTCCTAGGCCTAGACTTCCAGGACCAAGAGAACAGTCCAGTTTTTAATGAATTTTTGTGTTCCTGATAGCCAATAACACTATTTCTCACCCCTAAAGCTGAGGATCTGAGTTAGAATTTGGCTCTCTTGTCAGAATCCTTCAGAGGAGGCAGAACTCTAAGGCTAAGACAGACAGGCCTGTACAACTTGGCAGTAGGTAGGGGCCAAAATTAAAATCTGCTAAACTTCTTCGGCCTGCAGATAGGTTTTTAGCAGTTCACTTTGCAAATAAAGTTATAATTAATGATTAAACTATTTTGCAATATTAAAAAAGGGACATTTCAATTAATATCAATTAATTACAGTTAGTACTTAAGATTTTTATTTATCATGAAATCACTCCTCTCAGACTAGAGACAGATGATGGTTGGTTGCTGAGGGTCACGTGACAAACAGGAGAGTGCGCAGTGGCAACTCGCCAAGTTACCTGATCTGCACAATAGTGACTAGTGGAAGGCGGCGGGTTAAGCGGGGATGGGCAAAGCACTCATTACATCTTTACTTAAATTGTAGACTTTCTACGTTTTTCAAAAGCTACCCAAAATCCTTTGGCGGCTGAAAGTGGCCCTTGAAGGGGCTGTATGTTGTGCAGGCCTGGGGTAAGATAACCTACACCAAGCTTCATATTACAATATTGATGACAGTGAGGTCTCTGTCCTCTATGCTCCCTAGCTCTGCATCTGCAATCCTCTCAAGGTTTCTTCTAGTTTGATATCTGACAATTAAGAATCTAACATAGCAGTTTCGCCAAGGAAAATATTAAATATCCTTTCCTCAATCTTGATTATAGCTTTAAAAATGCTATTGTGTGTCCCACCAGCCTCAACTCATGCAGGACAGCAGGCCTACTTGGAACACTATCACTTTTTCTGCGTTTCATCCTCGGTCCTTTCTTCATCTTTGTAAAATGTTGAGCTCACTGAAGCCTCCTAATGTGCCCATTAAAGAAATATTACATTTGCTCTCTTAAAGACCCATTGTAGAAAATGAAAGTTTGTGGGGATGGATGGGGGGGGAGGAAGCCGTGTAAAGAGGATGGTGGTAGGGCCAAAAAAAAAAAAGGAATACTTATCTTAAGTAATTAATTGTAATTATATTTTAATTATAGTTATATTTAATATAATTTTAATTATATTAAACAATTTTCGTGCATTGTCATCTACTTATTTCTCCTTTTATTGTTCACTTGTATCTGACTCTTCATGACCCTATTTTGGGTTTTGTTTTGTTTTGTTTTTCAACAGATATTGGAGTGGTTTGCCGTTTCCTTCTCCAGCTCATTTGACAGATGAGAAAACTGAGGCAAACAGGTTGAAATGATTTACCTAGGGTCACACAGCTAGTAGGTGTCAGAGGCAGGATTGGAACTCTGGAAGAAATCTTTCTGACTTCAGGCTGGACACTACCCACTTTGCTACCTAGGCCCCTCTTATCTTTTCCTACAGACTGTAAAAATTGTTTAGTTTGATATCTTTTGTTTTTATATCACTTAGATTTCTCCCTGTATCCTTGCTTCACAACCCCCGCCCCAAGAACTGTAACTGTCTTTAAAGGGCCAGCTTATATAACTGGTTCAACCCTTGAAATACCCACAAACCTTCTCTTTGACTGTCCATGAACAAGCAGCAACCCAGACTCTGCTTTGATTATTTCCAGGAACAGGGAAATTTCCACTTTTGGACAGCTTAGTCTAATTGGGCATTTGATATCACATTTATGACTCAGTTGGATTGAGTTATTAAATAACTATGCAATTAAACATTTGAGTGCCTCCTGTGTTCAGTTGAGGGGTGGTCTACAACAAGTTGGAGCCCTGCCTTCAGAGAGCTTACAATATCAAGGTCAAATCTACTCTGGGAACTTTCCCCTATCTCTCCTATTCACTTCTTCTCCATAAGCAATCCTGCTCTGATGCTGCTCATGTCCCTCTGGTCACTTTGGTTAGTGACTCCTGACATTTGTTAAACCCTAAATTCCCCATAAAATGAACTAAATACAATATTCCAGGTGTGGAGAGACCAGTGTAGAGAACTAGGACATTCTTCTCCCTCCCTTTTTCTGGACACTCCCTTCCCCCACCTTAAGTCACTGCAGTTCAAGATTATATCAGTGTGGTTTTGTTGTTGTTTTTTTTTTTGACAGACACATCTATCTCATGGTTAAAATTCTTAATGAGCTCGTAGGCAAAACTATCTTTTCCCCTCCCCTTTTTTCTCACACAAACTTCTAGCCATGTTTGTTCTCTAGCCAAGAAATGGAAGGTTTTTAATGGCAGGTTTTGGTTTTGTTTGCTTTTTTTAACTTTTCAAAGTTCAGGACTTCACATTTTATTCTAATGGTCTAAGTAAGCAGGTCTCCTCAGTGCTTCCTACCTTCTGAGAAAATAAATGATCATCCAGACAGGACTTTATCAGACATTCTGCTTTGAACATAATCGAGACTTCAACACAAAATCCAGTTGAATTCAGGGAGTTTGATCCCTGTAATAATTATGTTCATTGCAAAATGAAAGCATGGCATATGGATAAAGAGCGCCAGTCTTGGAGTCAAGAAAGGACCATTTGTATCCCTGATGTAGACATACTGTAAGCACTGAATGACTTGTGTGACCCTGAGTGTGAGCATAGGACAAATCTTTTAGTGTCTCAGATACACTGAAAAAACCCACAACTGTTGCATTGGTTTTTGCACTGGTGGAGTTTCCTATAGCCGGTATAAATTGAATAAATGGGGGGGAGGGTGCCAGGCTTGTGATATTACTATAGTGTAGGGATCCCCATGTGGGAAACTCTGGTACTGATCTGAGTATCTATCTCCCCAACCCTAGTAAGCTCCTGGAAGGCAGGGATTGCTGTTGCTGCTTCTTTATTACTCTCTTTTGCATCAATCCTAGCTTACTATTTAATGCATTTAACATGCAGTCAAAGTTTTAACTCATTGACATCTCAGTTCTCCAGATTGGGCTTTCCCCTCTCCCCACATCAAAACAGCCTGGTTTTGTTCCTTTTTCTTTTTTTCCCTGTTTTTAGGGAAGACTATCTGGTTGCTGTGGGCAGGGAGAAGAGACAGACCAGGGCAGGAGAGAAATTTTAGTAATGAGATATGATGTGATAAGGATGTGGGATGTGCAATGGGTTGGTTGGGGAGGCGCAGTAAGAAAGGGGAGGGAGACAGTGACTCCATAGGATTTTCCAGCCTTTAGTGATTAGAATGGGGGGGAGTGGGAAGAAGTGGCTAAAGATGATTAGAGTAGCCTTTAAACTCAAATTTGGGGGGGGTTGGGGGAGTGTGAGTACACACACAGATAACTATAATATTATAGATGCAGCTGTGTGAGATGCCCCAAATGTTGTTTGAGCTGTGGGGGTGGGGCTAGACAGAAAGAGAATGACGATTTTAGAGGACTAGGTAGAATGTTTTTTACCTTTTGACCGAACGTTCTCACTCCAGCACTTTAGAAATTATGTTAGCCAGAATAATTAAACTAGGAACAGAGCAGAGCACAAGGAACTGGTTCTTCCCCACCCCACCCTCAGGCCAGCAGGTGAGCTTCCCATCTACCCTACCCAGGGCCCAAGTGTAGGTCTGAAGTGTTTACACTCTCCTACTGGGTGGGGTGTCTCTCAGGTTGCTCGGAGGGTTTAGAAGTCAGCATGCTTTGGGGAATGGCCAAGATTGCTGGTTTACAGGGCTGCACAGGACAGCGGGAAAAGAACCTGGCAGAGGGGACTGAGGAGCAGAGGGGAACTCGTTTTCAAAAGCCCTCAGGCATCATTAAACACATCAGAATCACAGAACAGACTGTTAGAGTGGAAATGGGCAGATTTAGGGATCCTAGATCCTAGAAGTGGAAGGGGACCTCAGACCTTGTCTAATCCAAGCCCCATGATCACACAAGCTTGTACAGTTAAACATCAAAGGGAAAATTTCAGCCCAGGTCCTCGGACTTCCAGAGCCAAACATTCTTGCCTCTAGGTTCCACGGGATCATTTTCGTCCAAGCCTCTGGTTAATTTAACACAGTACTAAGCCTGGCACTTTTGGGGGAGAGGTGGGGGGTGGGGTGGATGGGGGGGCCGGGGGGAAGGGAGAACCAGACCTCTGAATAATATCATTTGTATATCTGGTGAAGGAACTTCAGCTACCACTGCAGTTGGGCCCTTTTTAAACAGCCTGATTTGGAAAGTGCCTAGGGTTCCAAGTGTCACCCAGGGTCACCCAACCAGCTATGAAGTAGCTGAGCCCTATAAGACAAGAAAGCTAGGCTTTCCAAGCTCTTTCTACTCACTTGTGCATGGATAACTGGAAGGGCCCCAGGTTGGAGAGGATGATCTAGGGCGGCCATTGTTTCATTGAAAGCCTGTGATCTCAGCAGATGGCTGGCTG